AATGTGTACCGTCAATGTGTACTGTGTACCGTCAGTGTGCACCGTCAATGTGTTACGTCAATGTGTACCGTCAATGTGTACCATCAGTGTGTAACGTCAATGTGTACCGTCAATGTGTACCGTCAGTGTTTACCGTCAATGTATACCATCAGTGTGTACCGTCAATGTGTACTGTGTACCGTCAATGTGTCCCGTGTACCGTCAATGTATACCGTCAATGTGTACCGTCAATGTGTACTGTGTACCGTCAGTGTTTACCGTCAATGTATACCATCAGTGTGTAACGTCAATGTGTACCATCAGTGTGTAACGTCAATGTGTACCATCAATGTGTAACGTTTACCGTTAATTTGTACCGTCAGTGTTTATCGTCAATGTGTACCGTGTACCGTCAATTTGTACCGTCAGTGTTTACCGTCAATGTGTACTGTGTACCCTCAATGTGTACTGTGTACCGTCAGTGTGTAACGTCAATGTGTACCATCAGTGTGTAACGTCAATGTATACCGTCAATGTGTACCATCAGTATGTAACGTCAATGTGTACCATCAGTGTGTAACGTCAATGTTTACCGTCACTGTGTACTGTGTACCGTCAATGTGTACCGTCAATGTGTTACGTCAATGTGTACCGTAAATGTGTACCATCAGTGTGTAACATCAATGTGTACCTTCAGTGTGTACCATCAGTGTGTACCTTCAATGTGTACCGTCAGTGTGTACCATCAGTGTGTACCGACAATGTGTACCGTGTACCTTCAATGTGTGCCGTGTACCGTAAATGTGTACCGTGTACCCTCCATGTGTACCGTGTATTGTCAATGTGTACCGTCAGTGTGTACCGTCAATGTATACTGTCAATGTTTACCGTCAGTGTGTGCGGGCAATGTGTACCATCAATACAAACGGTATACATTAACGGTACACGGTACACATTCACGGTATACATTGACTGTACGTACCGTCAGTGTGTACCATCAGTGTGTACCGACAATGTGTACCGTGTACCTTCAATGTGTACCGTGGACCGTAAATGTGTACCGTGTACCGTCAATGTGTGCCGTGTATTGTCAATGTGTACCGTCAGTGTGTACCGTGTGCCGTCAGTGTGTACGGTGTACCGTCAGTGTGTACCGTCAATGCGTACCATCAGTGTGTACCGTCAATGTGCACCGTCACGTCAATGTGTACCATCAGTGTGTAACATCAATGTGTACTGTGTACCGTCAGTGTGTAACGTCAATGTGTACCATGTAATGTCAATGTGTACCATCAATGTGTACCGTCAATGTGTACCATCAATGTGTACCGTCAATGTGTACCGTCAGTGTGTACCCTCAGTGTGTACCGTCAATGTGTACCGTGTACCTTCAATGTGTACCGCGTACCGTAAATGTGTACTGTCAATGTGTACCGTAAATGTGTACAGTCAAAGTGAACAGTCAATGTTTATCATCAGTGTTTACCGTCAGTGTGTACCGACAATGTGTACCGTGTACCTTCAATGTGTACCGCGTACCGTAAATGTGTACTGTCAATGTGTACCGTCAATGGGTACAGTCAGTGTGAACAGTCAATGTTTATCATCAGTGTTTACCGTCAGTGTGTACCGTCAATGTGTATCGTCAATATGTACCGTCAATGTGTTACGTCAATGTGTACCGTAAATGTGTACCATCAGTGTGTAACATCAATGTGTACCGTCAGTGTGTACCGTCAATGTGTACTGTGTACCGTCAATGTGTACCGTGTACCGTCAATTTGTACCGTCAGTGTTTACCGTCAATGTGTACTGTGTACCGTCAATGTGTACCGTGTACCTTCAATGTGTACCGTGTACCGTAAATGTGTACCGTGTACCGTCAATGTGTACCGTGTATTGTCAATGTGTACCGTCAGTGTGTACCGTCAATGTGTACCGTGTACCTCTGATTACAATGTGGTCGCTTTAACTAACTTTGGCCTCAGATCAAAGAATGTTCTCTGGCCAAGCCTTACTGTACAGTTATATTGAATACGAAATTAGGGAACTGTATGTATGAAAACTGGAGTGGAATTCTCTAGTGATGTTTTACCTACAGTGGGACAGGGTACCTTAAGTCAATGATAGGATCGTATCAATGGCGCGATAGTATAATGTATAGGACTAAATGCTTTAAGACAGGTATTTTAAATGGTGTCAGTTAAAACAATGTCATATGATACTCAATATTTTTGGTGTTCGACTTTACAAGTGGTATGGACGTAGAGCTCACAACTATTCGGAAACAGTTGAGGTCCAAATATAGCTGTTACAAATTATCAGGTCCCTGTGTATACTATCATTGTTGGCGGGGGGGTGGGG